ACCAGGATGGTCTCGATCTCTTGACCTCGTGATCCACCCGCCTCGGCCTCCCAAAGTGCTGGGATTACAGGCGTGAGCCACCGCGCCCAGCTGGAAATACAATTTTTAAAAAATGTTTCTCACTTTTTTTCTCCTTTCTCTCTCATCTTCCCCTCCACCCCCCTTTTCCTGGGACTCCCTCTGGTCTCCTTTTTTGTTTCTCTTAGAAAGCTGTTTTTCTAGTCACTCCCTTTCTTTACCTTCTCTAGTTTAGTTGGTGATAATATTGCTCTTGTCACTGAAGAATAGGTGAAGAAAGCCCGTGGTCATGGACTTAGAAAGATTTCTGGCAACCCTTTTATTTGGGTTGAATTAAGGGGTTATAGTACCCCCCAATCTTTTTAAACTTAATTTTAAAAAATAGTATTTTGGTTAGTTTTTTTCTTTGTTTTGTTTTGAGATAGGGTCTCACCCTGTCGCCCAAGCTGACCTCAAGTATTCCTTCCACCTTGGCCTCCCAAAGTGCTGGGATTATAGGCATGAGCCACGGTGCCTGGCGGAGAAATATATTCTTAATATAATGTATAGTAAGAGCTCTCTTGAAAGTAACATCTGAGAATTTTGAAGAAAATGAATACATTGTACCCCCAAAGAAGAGGGGCAATGTAGAATTTTTAGTTTGTTTAATCTACCCATTGCTGTTGAAATGGTGGTGATAATAGTTACAGGTAGACTTCAATGGAGGAAAGTGTTTCTTTGTTCTCCCAAACTTAATCACATTAGAGAGAATTAGATCTACAGAAATTCAAACATTTCTGGAATTTGTCTTTGTATCATTGAACCATAGGACTATGGTAGATTGTATAGTGCTCCTAGTTTTCTAATCCTTGACCCTAAAATTGATTGTATGTATATTGCGAATTCAAATTTCCCAGTTTACTTTGGAAATACCATTACAGAGAATATTCTTTATTGGCATTTAGCAAGGTATAAGTGAATCTATATTTGATAGTTGGACTGGACACCTTGCCTCTAGCAGTGGGAAACTTGATGTATGTAATGTAATCTTCAAATCATTATGTAGCTGACTTGAGGAACTTTTTAATATGAAGTTTAATGTCAGGATTTCATTCAAATTACATTTCAGCTACTTATTGCCTGTGAGACCTTAGGCAATTTGCTTTATTTCTGAATGTCACTTTCTGTATCTGAAGATGGAAGTGATAATTCCCATCTTATATGGTTACTGTAATGATTAAACAAAATAACCTCAAGCTCCATAAACTACTGACATAAGGATTTAATTTTTCTGTACTACTAAAGTAAAACTAGTTTTCTAATAGTTTGTTGCAGGATAAGCAGTTTCATTTTGTTGACAATATGTGTATGAATTTGCTTCTGTAGTTCAACCACAAGTGAAAATGACCATGTAAGCATGTAGCATTCAGATAGTTTTCATAAGATTACTGAACCTAAGCCAATATGTGTATAGCAAACTGTAAGGGGTGCAGTGAGAAGACTTTAGACTTTAAAACAATTGTAATTTATTCAGGCTCTCATTGTGATCTTCAATAAAAATAATATTTTTCCCATTTTTTCACTTTTAGTATCGTTACCCCTGTGAGTAAATTATATTTTCGTGTGTGGAGTCACCAGACACTGAAATCTGATGTTTTATTGGGAACTGCTGCATTAGATATTTATGAAACATTAAAGTCAAACAATATGAAACGTACGTATTTAAGACTAATAGAAATTGCACTTAGCTCTTTGTTTTTCTAGAAGAAATTTATATGTCTAACATGCATAATGACTCATGTTGACTCATACCTTTAAATTTTACTTGGTTATAGGATGAACAGATAGAAGAATTTTAAGCTGTTAAAAGTATTCTGAGTTTCCTGGGTTTGGCCATTCATTTTGCATCCAGTATCTTTAATAAATATTTATTTACTTAGTAGATAGATGTTAGTAAAGTAATACATAGTTAATTGTGGAAAAACTAAAATATAGAGCAGAGATGAAAGAAAAAAAATCCCACTTCAGAGGACAAATCTAATGAATATTTTTACAGACTTCCTTTCCAAATGCTGCTTTTTGGGAGGGATGTGGAGAGCCTATTTCCCAGGTGGGAGTGCAGTGGCTATTTACAGGTGCATTCATAGCACAGTGTAGTCTTGAACTCCTGGTATCAAGTGGTTATCTTGCCTCAGCCTCTTGAGTATCTGGTGCTACAGGCAGGTACCACCACATCCAGCTTTAAATGCTTATTTTTTAAAATGTCCACATTTTATGTGGTTGTGATTTTATATGTATATCTATTTACATAATATAGAAAGAGGTTTAGCTTGTTTTAATTAATATATCATGATTTTAAAACACATTTTTTTCTACCTCTTGACTAAAACATACTTCTAAGAATTTTCTCATTTAGGGCTTATGTGATATAATTTATCCTTAAATTATGTTTTTATTCAATTTAATTCAGGTATATATTGTTAAATAATCTTTATTCTTATCCTTGCTCATTTTATAATATAGTCTTACAAGGATAGGATGAATATAATAAATGATGGAGATACTGTTTTACATCATGGATATGAAACATTAGCAAATTTTGTCCTTTTTAAAAGATACAGTGTTTTGGCGTCAAAAGTGCTCAAGCCTTGGGTGAAATATAGTTAAGCAATTTATATGTACATATAGTTACATTTTCTTGGGCATCACATTTTTAACAGTTAATTTTTAACAGTTAAGATGCCTTCTTGGCTGGGCATGCTGGATCACTTTAGGTCAGGAATTTGAGACTGGCCAACATCGTGAAACCCTGTCTCTACTAAAAATACAAAAATTAGCCAAGCGTGGTGATGCATGCCTATAATTCCAGCTACTCCGGAGGTAGAGAAAGGAGGATTGCTTGAACCCAGGATGTAGAGGTTGCAGTGAGTCGAGATCTAGCCATTGCACTCCAGCCTGGGCGACAGAGGGAGACTGTCTCAAAAAAAAAAAAAAAAAAAAAGCCTTCACGGGAAAAAAAAGTGACCATTTTTTCCGTAACTTTATTTTCTTCCAGTTGAAGAAGTAGTTGTGACTTTGCAGCTTGGAGGTGACAAAGAACCAACAGAGACAATAGGAGACTTATCAATTTGTCTTGATGGGCTACAGTTAGAGTCTGAAGTTGTTACCAATGGTGAAACTACATGTTCAGAAAGTAAGTGATTACCTTTTTAAGGTCTTTAATGATTCTTCTTAAATAAAATAGCCATTGCAGTATGCTATATGTAATTATTTAGATTTTTTTTTTCAGTTTAATAAAATGATTTTTTCTGGCTGGATGTGGTAGCTCACACCTCTAATCCCAGCACTTTGGGAGGCTGAGACAGTAGGATTGCTTGAGCTTGGAGGTTGAGGCTGCTTTGAGCCATAATCAGTGCCATTGCAGTCCAGCCTGGGTGACAGAGTGAGACCTTGTTTCTTTAAAAGAAAGAAAGAAAGAAAAGAAAGGAAAAAGAAAGAAAGAAATTATTTTTTTCTTTTAAAAAAATAGACCTTGATCACTTTAAACATTTTCTTTTTAGTGTATTGTTTCTATGAATAAAAGCATGTATATTTTTATGTAAGTTGAAAAATTAGCCAAATAGATGTTGAATCACAGTTGGCCCGATGAGTAATTAGTTGATTTATGTGGTATTTATTCTGTAGGCCAACTATGGCAGTTAATATGGGTTAGATGACACACCCCCTCCTGTGCCAATGGTAGAGTTTATGGTCTGTAGCAGCGTGTGATTGAGTTTAAATATGACTCACCTGCCCAACATGGTGACACCCGTTTCTACTAAAATTATGAAAAAATTAGCCGGACGTGATGATGGGTGCCTATAATCCCAGCTACTCAGGAGGCTGAAGCAGGAGAATCGCTTGAACCTAGGAGGTAGAGGTTACAGTGAGCAGAGATTGTGCCATTGCACTGCAGCCATTACAAGCTGAAATCCATTTACTATTCCCCTTCTATTTCTGTAGGCTACACTTACAGAGATATCTTCTGACAATACTAATTCATTATATTTGTGCTAGTAAATCTTACAATCTCTGATTTACTGGTGTGTGTTAAAGGAAAATAAACATGAGCTATGATTAAAAGAAGTTTCTGTGGTGGCATCTGAGTTAGTGGCTGGACAGCTAGCATATTTAATAAAACTTCTTCCCACTGTTTCCCATCAGATACTTCCATCACATCCTAATGTGCTAAGCATATTTTCACTTGAAACAGATTTCAGAGGCCTGAAGACAATGAAAGAGCAGATTAATGGATTTCTTGATGAGTTTGACAAAGATCTTTTGGTTTACTTAGAAACTGCATTATGAAACATTTTGCAGTTGTCAGGTGCTATTCTTTTTTTCCTACCTTGTTGGAAGACTTCCTACTTCCTCGTGACTTTTAAAAATAGCAGGACAGACTGGGCACAGTGGCTCACACCCCTTGATCCCAGCACTTTGGGAGGCTGAGGCAGGAGGGTTGCTTGAGCCCAGGAGTTAGAGACTCTCCTAGGCAACATGACAAAACTCTGTCTCTGCAGAAGATACAAAAATTTGCCATGTGTGTGGCACGTGTCTAGTCCAGGTACTTGGGAGGCCAAGGTGGGAGGATTGTTTGAACCCAGGAGTTGGAGGTTGTGGTGAGCCAAGATCACGCCACTGCACTCTAGCCTGGGTGACAGAGTGAGACCTCGTCTGAACAAAAAATAAAGTGGCAGGACCTAGCATGTCTTCCAGATTAGTTCTTTGGGGCTAGTGAGGATGGAAAGAAATTTATTTCTGAAATGGTTATACTGATTTGGAGTTGACACTTTGATTATTGTTCATAAGAACTCTATAATAGTCACATTTTTCTGTATATAAATTGGAAGTCTTTAAAATAAAATGCAAGTTACATTGTTAAACTATCCTAAACCTCAGTATTTATAGTGTCCTAAGTTTCCACCCAAGAAGTTGAAACTACTACTAATGTAAAATATTTAATAATTAGCCAAAGTAAAGCTTATCAGTCTTCATATTTAAGAATAGGATCTAAGCTGCATATGTATACTTAACGACTTCAGTGTTTATTTCCTACAGAAATAAGCATTTCTTTCTATGTCAACAGTTTTCTGTTCAAGTAGGAAAATAATTGACCAGTGAGAATTTAGTCTGATTCTGTGAGGTAAAGAGATAAGTCACAGTGGATTTTAGGTTTGGCATTGCCAGATACAGTAGCTGTTATTTATTGAATGCTTACCATGTATCAAGCACTGTGCTGGTGTTTTACATATATTCTCCTTTAACCATCACAGCTTTGTAAAGCACTACATACCCGCATTTTGCAGATAAGGGAAGTGAAGCTCTGAGCGTTTAAATAGCATTTCCAATATCACACAAATTAGTATGACACAGTAAAGATTGAAACACAGTTAATTTGTCAACATTGCCATTTCTTTCCAAAATACTATTGGTTTCACATGTAAAACCCTAGGAACTTTAAATCAAATTATGAATTGTAAGCAAACGGAACTCAATTCAGCTCATGTGTGGTAGGAACTGTACATGTTCTTTGATTGATTGGCTTCATTTTTGTATTTTCTTCTTTTTTTTTTTTTTGAGACAGAGTCTTACTCTGTTGCCCAGGCTGGAGTGCGGTGGTGCAATCTCGGCTCACTGCAACCTCCGCCTCCTAGGTTCAAGCCATTCTCCTGCCTCTCAGCCTGCCGAGTAGCTGGGACTACAGGCATGTGTGCCGCCACGCCCAATTAATTTTTGCATTTTTAGTAGAGATGGGGTTTCACTGTTTTAGCCATGTTGGTCTGGATCTCCTGACCTCATGATCCGCCTACCTCGGCCTACCAAAGTGTTGGGATTTCAGGCATGAGCTACCGTGCCTGGCCCATTTCTGTACTTTTTGACTGTATACCAGAAATAAAAATTAGAGTTTAGTACTGAAATTGAATTTGTGGCACCTGGATATTGATTGTTGGGTAAGAACTAGGGAGAAAATTGCTTTTATAGTCTAATTTAATTTTTTCTAATGTTACAGATTTTAAGATTTTTTTTTCCTGACCATGTTCATTTATGTTTTTTGTTAAAGAATATACAGGATAGTTCTTATAAGAAATCTGTTCTTGGGCCTGGCTCGGTGGCTCACGCCTGTAATCCCAGCACTTTGGGAGACTGAGGCGGGTGGATCACGAGGTCAGGAGTTCAAGACCAGCCTGGTCAAGATGTCGAAACTCCATCTCTACTAAAAATACAAAAATTAGCTGGGCGCAGTGGCACGTGCCTGTAATCCCAGCTACTCAGGAGGCTGAGGCAAGAGAATCGCTTGAACCTGGGAGGCAGAGACTGCAGTGAGCCAAGATTGTGCCATTGCACTCCAGCCTGTGTGACAGAGTGAGACTCCGTCTCAAAAAAAAAGAAAAGAAATCTGTTCTTGGCTGGGCGCAGTGGCTCAAGCCTTTAATCCCAGCAGTTTAGGAGGCTGAAGTAGGCGGAACACCTGAGGTCAGGTGTTCCAGACCAGCATGGCCAACATGGTGAAACCCCGGCTCTACTAAGAATACAAAAATTAGCTGGGTGTGGTGGCATGTGCCTCTTGAACACTTAGAGGCCATTGTAGGATTATTAATTGGCCTAATTTCAATATCCTTGTGTTTCAGAGAATAGGGAAACCTAAGGAGGAGAGACAGGAAGACTGATGCCTGATTGATAGAGCAGTCAGAACACATACAACATCTGTTGTTTGCCATTTTATATAGGTGTGGTCATGGCACCCCTAAACAATTATGATAGTAACTTCAACAGTGACTAATTGTAGATCACCATAACAGATATAACAGTAATGAAAAGTGTGAAACATTGCCGGAACTACCAATATGTGACAGATATGATCAAGCACTTGCTGTTGGGAAAATTGTGCCAGTAGACTTGCTCAATTCAGGGTTGTGACAAACCTTAATTTTGTAAAAAACACATCATCTGTGAAGTGCAATAAAGTGAAGCTTAATAAAATGAGATGTCTTTACTATGAAGATTAGATTTTCCTAATGAGATCACCTTGTCTCTTTTGGTGTAGTAGTCCTTCCCCCCCCAGTCACAGGGGATATGTTCCAGGACCTCCCAGTGTATACCTGAAACTAGATAAAACTGAACCCTATATAAACTTGTATAGGCATGTTTTTTTCCATTATATACATAATTATGATAAAATTTAATTTGTTAAGTTAGGCACAGTAAGAGGTTAGCCACAATAATAAGAAAGTAAGGCAGGCACGGTGGCTCATGCCTGTAATCCCAGCACTTTGGGAATCCTAGGCGGGCAGATCATGAGGTCAGGAGTTTGAGACCAGCCTGGCCAACATGGTGAAACCCCTTTTCTACTGAAAATACAAAAATTAGCTGAGCGTGGCAGTGGGCGCCTGTAATCCCAGCTACTTGGGAGGCTGAGGCAAGAGAATTGCTTTCACCCAGGAGGTAGAGATTGCAGTGAGCTGAGGTCGTGCCACTGCACTCAGCCTGGGTGACAGAGCGAGACTCCATCTCAAAAAAGAAAAGAAAACCATTATAATAGTATACTGTAATAAAAGTTGTAGGAATGTCATCTCAGTTTCAGCTTCACTCCCAAAATACCTCACATTTTAGCTTGGTTTAGAGCTTTGGGAGGAAAAATACCTTATGGTATTCACCTACTTTTGGACCACAGTTGACTGTGGGTAATTAAAACTATAGATAAGGGGAACTCCACTGTACCTAAAGGCACATTTTTGGTTCTTCTTGGTGGATAAATTTTCTAAAAATGGCGGTTATATAAATAAACTTTTTCCAAGTGAAACAAAATATACTTGTTTTTTCTGGTCTTTAAGTTTTATTTTAAAAACTAGCTAGCTTTATATTCCCCTACTTTCTTTTTTTTTTTTTT